CTGATAAATTCTATGCTATTTCAAAAGATATTAATAGCGGGGATAACTCAATTAGGAGAGCGTCAGACTGAAGATCTGAAGGTCGCTTGTTCAGTCCACGCTCACCGTATGAACTTTGTAATTTTTTCACGTTAGTCTCTTGCTCTCCCTGTTAATGGATTTGGCATATTCTCTTCTTACTGGTTATATATAATAGTCGTTATATATAATAGTTTCGCTACAAATCAGGCAATCGGTGGCAGAAGACCAACTGGTATTTTGTAACTCATAAATTCTATGCTCTTTCAAAAGAAATTAATAGGGGGATAGCTCAGTTGGGAGAGCGTCAGACTGAAGACCTGAAGGTTGTGTGTTCGATCCACACTCCCTACATGAACTTTATAATTTTTTCACGTTGGTGTCTCGCTCTCCCTGTTAATGGATTTGGCCTATACTCTTCTTACTGGTTATATATAATAGTCGTTATATATAATAGTTTCGCTATTAATCAGGGAATCGGTGGAGCAAGACCAACATGTATTTTGTAAATGATAAATTCTATGCTCTTTCAAAAAGATATTAATAAGGGGATGACTCAGTTGAGAAAGCAACAGACTGAAGATCTAAAGGTTATGTGTTCTATCCACACTCACCGCATGAGCTTTGTAATTTTTTCACGTTGGTCTCTTGCTCTGCCTGTTAATGGAATTGATCTATTCTCTTCTTACTGATTATATATAATAGTCGTTATATATAATAGTTCCGCTATTAATCAGGCAATCGGTGGAGCAAGACCAGCAGGTATTTTTTAAATGATAAATTTTGTGATCTTTCAAAAAGATATTAATAGTGGGGATAGCTCAGTTGGGAGAGCGTCAGAATGAAGATATGAAGGTCACGTGTTTGATCCACGCTCACCGCATGGACTTTGTAATTTTTTCACGTTAGTCGCTCTCTCCCTGTTAATGGGGTTGTCCTATTCTCTTCTTACTCGTTATATATAATAGTCGCTATATATAATAGTTTCGCTATTAATCAGGGAATCGGTGGAGCAAGACCAACAGGTATTTTGTAAATGATAAATTTTATGCTCTTTCAAAAAGATATTAATAGGGGGATAGCTCAGTTGGGAGAGCGTCAGACTGAAGACCTGAAGGTCGTGTGTTGGATCCACACTCACTACATGAACTTTGTAATTTTTTCACGTTGGTGTCTCACTCTCCCTGTTAATGGATTTGGCCTATACTCTTCTTACTGGTTATATATAATAGTCGTTATATATAATAGTTTCTCTATTAATAAGGAAATCGGTGGAGCAAGACCAATAGGTGTTTTGTAAATGATAAATTCTATGCTCTTTCAAAAATATATTAATAGCATTAGATGGCTCAGTTGGGAAAGTGACATACTAAAGATCTAAAGGTCTCGTGTTCGATCCACAGTCACCGCATGAGCTTTATAATTTTTTCATGTTGGTCTCTCACTCTTTCTGTTAATGGAATTGGCCTATTCTCTTCTTACTAGTTATATATAATAGTCGTTATATATAATAGTTCCGCTATTAATCAAGCAATCGGTGGAGCAAGACCAACTGGTATTTTAAAAATGATAAATTATATGTTCTTTCAAAAAGATATTAATAGTGGTGATAGCGCAGTTGGGAGAGCGTCAGACTGAAGATCTCAAGGACACATGTTCGATCTACGCTCACCACACGAACTTTGAAATTTTTTCACGTTGGTCTCTCGCTCTCCCTGTTAATTGATTTGGCATATACTCTTCTTACTGGTTATATATAATAGTTCCGCTATTAATCAAAAATCGGTGGAGCAAGACCAACTGATATTTTGTACCTGATAAATTCTATGCACATTCAAAAAGATATTAATAGCGGGGATAGCTCAGTTGGGAGAGTGTCAAACTGAAAATCTGAACGTCACGTGTTCGATCTACATTCTCCGCATGAACTTTGTAATTTTTTCACGTTGGTCTCTCGCTCTCCCTGTTAATGGGTTTGACCTATTCTCTTCTTTCTGGTTATATATAATAGTTGTTATATATAATAGTTTCCCTATTAATTAGGCAATCGATGGAGCAAGACCAACTCGTATTTTATTTTGTAAATGATAAATTCTATGCTCTTTCAAAAAGATATTAGTAGCGGGAAAACTCAGTTGGGAGAGCGTCAGACTGAAGATCTTAAGCTCGCGTGTTAGATCTATGCTCACCACATGAACTTTGTAATTTTTTCAGGTTGGTCTCTCGCTCTCCCTGTTAATTGATTTGGCCTAAACTCTTCTTACTGGTTATATATAATATTCGTTATATATAATAGTTCCGCTTTTAATCAGAAAATCGGTGGAGCAAAACCAACTGATATTTTGTAACTGATAAATTCTATGCATATTCAAAAAGATATTAATAGCGGGTATAGCTCAATTGGAAGAGCGTTACATTGAAGATCTGAAGGTTGCATGTTCAATCCATGCTTACCACATGAACTTTGCAATTTTTTCACGTTGGTCTCTCGGTCTCCTTGTTAATGGGTTTGACATACTCTGTTCTTACTGGTTATATATAATAGTTGTTATATATAATAGTTTCGCTATTAATCAAGCAATCGGTGGAGCAAGACCAACTCGTATTTTGTAAATGATAAATTCTATGCTCTTTCAAAAAGATATTAATATCGGGAAAACTCAGTTGGGAGAGCGTCAGACTGAAGATATTAAGGTCGCGCGTTCGATCTACGCTCATCGCATGAACTTTGTAATTTTTTCACGTTGGTCTCTCGCTCTCCCTGTTAATGGATTTGGCCTATACTCTTCTTATTGGTTATATATAATAATCGTTATATATAATAGTTTCGCTATCAATCAGGCAATTAGTAGAGCTAGACCAACTGATATTTTGAAACGGACAAGTTCTATGCATATTCAAAAAGATATTAATAGCGGGGATAACTATGTTGGGAGAGCGTCGGACTTAAGATCTGAAGGTCACGTGTTCGATCCACGCTCACCGCATGAACTTTGAAATTTTTTCACGTTGGTATCTCGCTCTCCCTATTAATGGGTTTGACCTATTCTCTTCTTACAGGTTATATATAATAGTTGTTATATATAATAGTTTCGCTATTAATCAGGCAATCGATGGAGCAAAACCAACTCGTATTTTGTAAATGATAAATTTTATGCTCTTTAAAAAAGATATTAATAGCATAGATAACTAAGTTGGAAGAGATTTAGACTGAAGATTTGAAGGTCGTGTGTTTGACCCACGCTCACCGCATGAACTTTGTAATTTTTTCACGTTGGTCTCTCGCTCTCCTTGTTAACGGTTTAGGCCTATTCTCTTCTTACTCATTATATATAATAGTTTCACTATTAATCAGGCAATCGGTAGAGTAAGACCAACTGGTATTTCGTAAATGATAAATTTTATTCTCTTTAAAAAAGACATAAATAGTGGGGAAAACTCAGTTAGGAGAGTGTCAGACTGAAGATCTGAAGGTCGCGTGTTCGATCTACACTCATCGCATGAGCTTTGTAATTTATTCACGTTGGTCTATCGCTCTCTCTGTAAATGGAATTGGCTTATACTCTTCTTACTCGTTATGTATAATAGTTCCGCTATTAATCAGGCAATCGGCTGAGCAAGGCCAGCTGGTATTTTTTAATTGATAAATTTTATGCTCTTTCAAAAAGATATTAATAGCGGGGGTAGCTCAGTTGGGAGAGTGTCAGACTGAAGATCTGAAGGTCGCGTGTTCGATCTACGCTCACCGCATGAACTTTGTAAGTTTTTCACGTTGGTCTCTCGCTCTTCTGCCAATGGATTCGGCCTATACTCTTCCTACTGGTTATATATAATAGAAGTTATATATAATAGTTTCACTATTAATAAGGCAATTGGTGCAGCAAGACTAACTGATATTTTGTAACTGACAACTTCTATGCACATTAAAAAAGATACTAATAGCGGGGATAACTTAGTTGGGAGAGCATCAGACTGAAGATCTGAATATCATGTGTTCGATCCACGCTCACCGTATGAGCTTTATAATTTTTTCATGTTGGTCTCTCGCTCTCCCTGTTAATGGAATTGACATATTCTCTTCTTAATGGTTATTATAATAGTCGTTATATATAATAGTTCCGCTATTAATCAGGAAATCGGTAGAGCAACACCAGCTGGTATTTTTAAAATGATAAATTCTATGCCCTTTCAAAAGATATTAATAGCGGGGATAGCTCAGTTGGGAGAGCGTCAGACTTCAAGACCTGAAGTTCGTGTGTTCGATCCACGCTCACTGCATGAACTTTGTAATTTGTTCACGTTGGTCTCTCGTTCTCCCTGTTAATGGATTTGGCCTATACTCTTCTTACTGGTTATATATAATAGTTTCGCTATTAATCAGAAATCGGTGGAGCAAGACCAACTGATATTTTGTAACTGATAAATTCTATGCACATTCAAAAAGATATTAATAGCGGGGATATCTCAATTGGGAGAGCGTCAGACTGAAGATCTGAAGGTCGCGTGTTCGAACCACGCTCACCGCATGAACTTTGTAATTTTTTCACGTTAGTCTCTCGCTCTCCCTGTCAATGGGTTTGACCTATTCTTTTCTTACTGGTTACATATAATTGTTGTTATATATAATAGTTTCCCTATTAATCAGGCAATCGATGGAGCAAGACCAACTCGTATTTTGTAAATGATAAATTCTATACTCTTTCAAAAAGATTTCAGTAGCGGGAAAACTCAGTTGGAAGAGTGTCAGACTGAAGATCTTAAGGTCGCGTGTTAGATCTACGTTCACCGCATGAACTTTATAATTTTTTCAGGTTGGTCTCTCGCTCTCCCATTTAATTGATTTGGCATATACTCTTCTTACTGGTTATATATAATAGTCGTTATATATAATAGTTTCGCTATTAATCAGGGAATCGGTGGAGCAAGACTAACATGTATTTTGTAAATGATACATTTTATGCTCTTTCAAAAAGATATTAATAGCGGGGATGGCTCAGATGGGAGAGTGTTAGACTGAAGATCTGAAGGCCGCATGTTCAATCCACGCTCACTGCATGAACTTTGTAATTTTTTCATGTTGGTCTCTCGCTCTCCTTGTTAATGGGTTAGACATATTCTCTTCTTACTGGTTATATATAATAGTTTCGCTATTAATCAGGCAATCGGTGGAGCAAGACCAACTCGTATTTTGTAAATGATAAATTCTATGATCTTTCAAAAAGATATTAAAATCGGGAAAACTCAGTTGGGAGAGCGTCAGACTGAAGATATTAAGGTCGCGCGCTCGATCCACGCTCACCGCATGAACTTTGTAATTTTTTCAAGTTGGTCTCTCGCTCTCCCTGTTAATGGATTTGGCCTATACTCTTGTTATTGGTTATATATAATAATCGTTATATAAAATAGTTTCGCTATCTATCAGGCAATTAGAAGAGCAAGACCAACTGATATTTTGTAACTAACAAATTCTATGCATATTCAAAAAGATATTAATAGCGGGGATAGCTCAGTTGGGAGAGTGTCAGACTGAAGATCCAAAGGTCGCGTGTTCGATCCACGCTCACCGCATGAACTTTGTAATTTTTTCACGTTGGTCTCTCGCTCTCCCTGTTAATGGGTTTGACCTATTCTCTTCTTACTGGTTATATATAATAGTTGTTATATATAATAGTTTTGTTATTAATCAGGCAATCGATGGAGCAAGACCAACTCGTATTTTGTAAATGATAAATTCTATGCTCTTTCAAAAAGATATTAATAGCAGGAAAACTCAGTTGGGAGAGCGTCAGACTGAAGATCTTAAGGTCGCGTGTTCGATCTACGCTCACCGCATGAACTTTGTAATTTTTTCAGGTTGGTCTCTCGCTCTCCCTGTTAATTGATTTGGCCTATATTCTTCTTGTTGGTTATATATAATAGTCGTTATTTATAATAGTTCAGCTATTAATCAGAAAATCGATGGAGCAAGACCAACTAATATTTTGTAACTGATAAATTCTATGCACATTCAAAAAGATATTAATAGCGGGGATAGCTCAGTTGGGAGAGCGTCAGACTGAAGATCTGAAGGTCTTGTGTTCGATACATCCTCATCGCATGAACTTTGTAATTTTTCACATTGATCTCTCGCTCTCCCTGTTAATGGGTTTGACCTATTCTCTTCTTACTGGTTATATATAATAATTGTTATATATAATAGTTTCGCTATTAATCAGGCAATCAGTGGAGCAAGACCAACTCGTATTTTGAAAATGATAAATTATATGATCTTTCAAAAAAATATTAATATCGGGGAAACTTAGTTGGGAGAGCGTCAGACTGAAGATATTAATGTCGTGCGTTCGATCTACGTTCACCGCATAAACTTTGTAATTTTTTCACGTTGGTCTCTCGCTCTCCCTGTTAATGGATTTGACCTATACTCTTCTTACTGGTTATATATAATAATCGTTATATATAATAGTTTCGTTATCAATCAAGAAATTGGTAGAGCAATACCAAATGATATTTTGTAACTGACAAATTCCTTACATATTCAAAAAGATATTGTTAGCCGGGATAGCTCAGTTGGGAGAGCGTCAGATTGATGATCTAAAGGTCGCGTGTTCGATCCACGCTCACTGTATAAACTTTGTATTTTTTTCACGTTGGTCTCTCGCTCTCCCTGTTAATGGGGTTGACCTATTCTTTTCATATTGGTTATATATAATAGTTGTTATATATAATAGTTTCGCTATTAATTAGGCAATCGATGGAGCAAGACCAACTCGTATTTTGTAAATGATAAATTGTATGCTCTTTCAAAAAGATATTAGTAGTGGGAAAACTAAGTTGGGAGAGCGTCAGACTGAAGATCTTAAGGTCGCGTGTTCGATCCACGCTCACCGTATGAACTTTGTAATTTTTTCACGTTAGTCTCTCGCTCTCCCTGTTAATGGATTTGGCCTATTCTCTTTTTACTGGTTATATATAATAGTCGTTATATATAATAGTTCTGCTATTAATTAGAAAATCGGTGGAGCAAGACCAACAAATATTTTGTAACTGATAAATTCTATGCACATTCAAAAAGATATTAATAATGAGGAAGCTCAGTTGGGAGAGCATAAGTTTGAAGATCTGAAGGTCTAGTGCTCGATCCACGCTCACCGCATGAACTTTGTGATATTTTCACGCTGGTCTCTCGCTCTTCATGTTAATGGGTTTGACCTATTCTCTTCTTACTGGTTATATATAATAGTTGTTATATATAATAGTTTCGTTATTAATCATGCAATCGATGGAGCAAGACCAACTTGCATTTTGTAAATGATAAATTCTATGCTCTTTCAAAAAGATTTCTGTAGCGGGAAAACTTAGTTGGAAGAGTGTCAGACTGAAGATCTTAAGGTCGCGTGTTAGATCTACGTTCACCGCATGAACTTTATAATTTTTTCAGGTTGGTCTCTCGCTCTCCCATTTAATTGATTTGGCATATACTCTTCTTACTGGTTATATATAATAGTCGTTATATATAATAGTTTCGCTATTAATCAGGGAATCGGTGGAGCAAGACTAACATGTATTTTGTAAATGATACATTTTATGCTCTTTCAAAAAGATATTAATAGCGGGGATGGCTCAGCTGGGAGAGTGTTAGACTGAAGATCTGAAGGCCGCATGTTCAATCCACGCTCACTGCATGAACTTTGTAATTTTTTCATGTTGGTCTCTCGCTCTCCTTGTTAATGGGTTAGACATATTCTCTTCTTACTGGTTATATATAATAGTTTCACTATTAATCAGGCAATCGGTGGAGCAAGACCAACTCGTATTTTGTAAATGATAAATTCTATGATCTTTCAAAAAGATATTAAAATCGGGAAAACTCAGTTGGGAGAGCGTTAGACTGAAGATCTTAAGGTCGCGCGCTCGATCCACGCTCACCGCATGAACTTTGTAATTTTTTCAAGTTGGTCTCTCGCTCTCCCTGTTAATGGATTTGGCCTATACTCTTGTTATTGGTTATATATAATAATCGTTATATAAAATAGTTTCGCTATCTATCAGGCAATTAGAAGAGCAAGACCAACTGATATTTTGTAACTAACAAATTCTATGCATATTCAAAAAGATATTAATAGCGGGGATAACTCAGTTGGGAGAGCGTTAGACTGAAGATCCAAAGGTCGCGTGTTCGATCCACGCTCACTGCATGAACTTTGTAATTTTTTCACGTTGGTCTCTCGCTCTCCCTGTTAATGGGTTAGACATATTCTCTTCTTACTGGTTATATATAATAATTGTTATATATAATAGTTTCGCTATTAATCAGGCAATCAGTGGAGCAAGACCAACTAGTATTTTGAAAATGATAAATTATATGATCTTTCAAAAAAATATTAATATCGGGGAAACTTAGTTGGGAGAGCGTCAGACTGAAGATATTAATGTCGTGCGTTCGATCTACGTTCACCGCATAAACTTTGTAATTTTTTCACGTTGGTCTCTCGCTCTCCCTGTTAATGGATTTGACCTATACTCTTCTTACTGGTTATATATAATAATCGTTATATATAATAGTTTCGTTATCAATCAAGAAATTGGTAGAGCAATACCAAATGATATTTTGTAACTGACAAATTCCTTACATATTCAGAAAGATATTGTTAGCCGGGATAGCTCAGTTGGGAGAGCGTCAGATTGACGATCTAAAGGTCGCGTGTTCGATCCACGCTCACTGTATAAACTTTGTATTTTTTTCACGTTGGTCTCTCGCTCTCCCTGTTAATGGGGTTGACCTATTCTTTTCATATTGGTTATATATAATAGTTGTTATATATAATAGTTTCGCTATTAATTAGGCAATCGATGGAGCAAGACCAACTCGTATTTTGTAAATGATAAATTGTATGCTCTTTCAAAAAGATATTAGTAGTGGGAAAACTAAGTTGGGAGAGCGTCAGACTGAAGATCTTAAGGTCGCGTGTTCGATCCACGCTCACCGTATGAACTTTGTAATTTTTTCACGTTAGTCTCTCGCTCTCCCTGTTAATGGATTTGGCCTATTCTCTTTTTACTGGTTATATATAATAGTCGTTATATATAATAGTTCTGCTATTAATCAGAAAATCGGTGGAGCAAGACCAACAAATATTTTGTAATTGATAAATTCTATGCACATTCAAAAAGATATTAATAGTGAGGAAGCTCAGTTGGGAGAGCATAAGTTTGAAGATCTGAAGGTCTAGTGCTCGATCCACGCTCACCGCATGAACTTTGTGATTTTTTCACGCTGGTCTCTCGCTCTTCATGTTAATGGGTTTGACCTATTCTCTTCTTACTGGTTATATATAATAGTTGTTATATATAATAGTTTCGTTATTAATCATGCAATCGATGGAGCAAGACCAACTTGCATTTTGTAAATGATAAATTCTATGCTCTTTCAAAAAGATATTAGTAGCGGGAAAACTCAGTTGGGAGAGCGTCAGACTGAAGATCTTAAGGTCGCGTGTTCGATCTACACACACTGCATGAACTTTGTAATATTTTCAGGTTGGTCTCTCGCTCTCCCTGTTAATTGATTTGGCATATACTCTTCTTCCTAGTTATATATAACAGTCGTTATATATAATAGTTCCGCTATTAATCAAAAAATTGGTGGAGCAAGACCAACTGATATATATAATGGTTTTGATATTAATCAGGCAATCAATGGAGAAAGTCCAACAGGTATTTTGTAAATGATAAATTCTGTGCTCTTTCAAAAAGATATTAATAGCGGGGAAAACTCAGTTCGGAGAGCGTCAGACTGAAGATCTGAAGGTCACGTGTTCATTCTACGCTCACCGCATGAGCTTTGTGCTTTTTTCACGTTGGTCTTTCGCTCTCTCTGTTAATGGAATTGGTCTATTCTCTTATTACTAGTTATATATAATAGTCGTTATATATAATATTTCCGCTATTAATCAGACAATCGATGGAGCAAGACTAGCTGACATTTTTTAAATGATAAATTCTATACTCTTTCAAAAAGATATTAGTAGCAGGGATAGCTTAGTTGGGAGAGCGTCAGACTAAAGATCTTAAGGTCGCGTGTTCAATCCACGCTCACTGCATGAGCTTTGTAATTTTTTCACGTTGGTCTCTCGCTCTCCTTGTTAATGGATTTGGCATATACTCTTCTTACTGGTTATATATAATAATCGTTATATATAGTAGTTTCGCTATCAATCAGGGAATTAGTAGAGCTAGACCAACTTATATTTTGTAACTGACAAGTTCTATGCTTATTGAAACAGATATTAATAGTGGGGATAGCTCAGTTGGGAGAGCGTCAGACTGAATATTTGAAGGTCGCGTGTTCGAACCACTCTCACCGCATGAACTTTGAAATTTTTTCACGTTGGTCTCTCGCTCTCCCTGTTAATGGGTTTGACCTATTCTCTTCTTACAGGTTATATATAATAGTTGTTATATATAATAGTTTCGCTATTAATCAGGCAATCGATGGAGCAAGACCAACACGTATTTTGTAAATGATAAATTTTATGCTCTTTCAAAAAGATATTAATAGCAGAGATAACTAAGTTGGAAGAGATTTAGACTGAAGATTTGAAGGTCGTGTGTTTGATCCACGCTCACCGCATGAACTTTGTAATTTTTTCACGTTGGTCTCTCGCTCTCCTTGTTAACGGTTTAGGCCTATTCTCTTCTTACACGTTATATATAATAGTTTCACTATTAATCAGGCAATCGGTAGAGTAAGACCAACTGGTATTTCGTAAATGATAAATTATATTCTCTTTAAAAAAGACATAAATAGTGGGGAAAACTCAGTTAGGAGAGTGTCAGACTGAAGATCTGAAGGTCGCGTGTTCGATCTATGCTCATCGCATGAGCTTTGTAATTTATTCACGTTGGTCTATCGCTCTCTCTGTTAATGGAATTGGCTTATACTCTTCTTACTCGTTATGTATAATAGTTCCGCTAGTAATCAGACAATCGGTGGAGCAAGGCCAGCTGGTATTTTTTAATTGATAAATTTTATGCTCTTTCAAAAAGATATTAATAGTGGGGGTAGCTTAGTTGGAAGAGTGTCAAACTGAAGATCTGAAGGTCGTGTGTTCGATCCACGCTCACCGCATGAACTTTGTAATTTTTTCAAGTTGGTCTCTCGCTCTCCCTGTCAATGGGTTTGACCTATTATTTTCTTACTGGTTATATATAATTGTTGTTATATATAATAGTTTCCCTATTAATCAGGCAATCGATGGAGCAAGACCAACTCATATTTTGTAAATGATAAATTATATCCTCATTCAAAAAGATTTTAGTAGCGGGAAAACTCAGTTGGGAGAGCGTCAGACTGAAGATCTTAAGGTCGCGTGTTAGATCTACGTTCACCGCATGAACTTTATAATTTTTTCAGGTAGGTCTCTCGCTCTCCCTGTTAATTGATTTGGCATATACTCTTCTTACTGGTTATATATAATAGTCTTTACATATAATAGTTTCGCTATTAATCAGGGAATTGGTGGAGCAAGACCAACATGTATTTTTGTAAATGATAAATTTTATGCTCTTTCAAAAAGATATTAATTGCGGGGATGGCTCAGTTAGGAGAGTGTTAGACTGAAGATCTAAAGGTCGCATGTTCGATCCACGCTCACTGCATGAATTTTGTAATTTTTTCACGTTGGTCTCTCGCTCTCCTTGTTAATGGGTTAGACATATTCTCTTCTTACTGGTTATATATAATAGTTGTTATATATAATAGTTTCGGTATTAATCAGGCAATCGGTGGAGCAAGACCAACTCGTATTTTGTAAATGATAAATTCTATGAACTTTCAAAAAGATCTTAAGGTCGCGTGTTCGATTTACGCTTACACATGAACTTTGTAATTTTTTCAGGTTGGTCTCTCGCTCTCCCTGTTAATTGATTTGGCCTATACTCTTCTTACTGGTTATATATAATAGTCGTTATATATAATAGTTCAGCTATTAATCATAAAATCGGTGGAGCAAGACCAACTGATATTTTGTAACTGATAAATTCTATGTACATTCAAAAAGATATTAATATCGGGGATAGCTCAGTTGGGAGAGCGTCAGACTGAAGAACTTAAGGTCTTGTGTTCGATACATGCTCACCGCATGAACTTTGTAATTTTTCATGTTGGTCTCTCGCTCTCCCTGTTAATGGGTTTGACCTATTCTCTTCTTACTGGTTATATATAATAATTGTTATATATAATAGTTTCGCTATTAATCAGGCAATCGGTGGAGCAAGACCAACTCTTATTTTGAAAATGATAAATTATATGATCTTTCAAAAAGATATTAATATCAGGGAAACTCAGTTGGGAGAGCGTCAGACTGAAGATATTAATGTCGCGCGTTCGATCTACGTTCACCGCATGAACTTTGTAATTTTTTCACGTTGGTCTCTCGCTCTCCCTGTTAATGGATTTGGCCTATACTCTTCTTTCTGGTTATATATAATAATCGTTATATATAATAGTTTTGCTATCAATCAAGAAATTGGTAGAGCAATACCATCTGATATTTTGTAACTGACAAATTCTATACATATTCAGAAAGATATTATTAGTGGGGATAACTCAGTTGGGAGAGCGTCATACTGAAGATCTGAAGGTCGCGTGTTCAATCCACGCTCACCGTATAAAGTTTGTAATTTTTTACGTTGGTCTCTCGCTCTCCCTGTTAATGGGTATGACCTATACTTTCCTTAATGGTTATATATAATAGTTGTTATATATAATAGTTTCGCTATTAATCAGGCAATCGATGGAGCAAGCCCAACTCGTATTTTGTAATTGATAAATTCTATGCTCTTTCAAAAAGATATTAGTAGCGGGAAAACTCAGTTGGGAGAGCGTCAGACTGAAGATCTTAAGGTCGCGTGTTCGATCCACGTTCACTGTATGAACTTTGTAATTTTTTCACGTTGGTCTCTCGCTCTCCCTGTTAATGGGTTTGACCTATACTTTCCTTAATGGTTATATATAATAGTTGTTATATATAATAGTTTCGCTATTAATCAGGCAATCGATGGAGCAAGCCCAACTCGTATTTTGTAATTGATAAATTCTATGCTCTTTCAAAAAGATATTAGTAGCGGGAAAACTCAGTTGGGAGAGCGTTAGACTGAAGATCTTAAGGTCGCGTGTTCGATCCACGTTCACTGTATGAACTTTGTAATTTTTTCACGTTGGTCTCTCGCTCTCCCTGTTAATGGATTTGGCCTATTTTCTTTTTACTGGTTATATATAATAGTCGTTATATATAATAGTTCTGCTATTAATCAGAAAATCGGTGGAGCAAGACCAACAGATATTTTGTAACTGATAAATTCTATGCACATTCAAAAAGATATTAATAGTGGGGAAGCTCAGTTGGGAGAGCATCAGTTTGAAGATATGAAGGTCTCGTGTTCGATCCACGCTTACCGCATGAACTTTGTAATTTTTTCACGTTGGTCTCTCGCTCTTCCTGTTAATGGGTTTGACCTATTCTCTTCTTACTGGTTATATATAATAGTTGTTATATATAATAGTTTCGTTATTAATCAGGCGATGGAGCAAGTCCAACTTGCATTTTGTAAATGATAAATTCTTTGATCTTTCAAAAAGATATTAGTAGCGGGAAAACTCAGTTGGGAGAGCGTCAGACTGAAGATCTTAAGGTCGCGTGTTCGATCTACACTCACCGCGTGAACTTTGTAATTTTTTCAGGTTGGTCTCTCGCTCTCCCTGTTAATTGATTTGGCCTATACTTTTCTTCCTAGTTATATATAACAGTCGTTATATATAATAGTTCCGCTATTAATCAGAAAATTGGTGGAGCAAGACCAACTGATATTTTGTAACTGATAAATTCTATGCACATTCAAAAATATAATAATAGTGGGGATAGCTCAGTTGGGAGAACGTCAGACTGAAGATCTGAAGGTCGTGTGTTCGATCCATGCTCATCGTATGAACTTTGTAATTTTTTCACGTTGGTCTCTCGCTCTCCTTGTTAATGGGTTTGACCTATTCTCTTCTTACTGGTTATATATAATAGTTGTTATATATAATAGTTTCGCTATTAATCATGCAATCGATGGAACCATACCAACTCATATTTTGTAAATGATAAATTCTATGCTCTTTCAAAAAGATATTAATATCGGGAAAATTCAGTTGAGAGAGCGTCAGACTGAAGATATTAAGGTCGCGCGTTCAATCTACGCTCACCGTATGAACTTTGTAATTTTTTCACGTTGGTCTCTCGCTCTCCCTATTAATGGATTTGGCCTATACTCTTCTTACTGGTTATATATAATAATCGTTATATATAATAGTTTCGCTATCAATCAGGAAATTGGTAGAGCAATACCAACTGATATTTTGTAACTGACAAATTCTATGCATATTAAAAAAGATATTAATAGCGGGGATAGCTCAGTTGGGAGAACGTCAGACTGAAGATCTGAAGGTCGCGTGTTTGATCCACGCTCACCGCATGAACTTTGTAATTTTTTCACGTTGGACTCATGCTCTCCCTATTAATGGGTTTGGCCTATTCTCTTCATATTGGTTATATATAATAGTTGTTATATATAATAGTTTTGATATTAATCAAGAAATTAGTGGAGCAAGTCCAATAGGTATTTTGTAAATGATAAATCATGTGCTCTTTCAAAAAGATATTAATAGCGGGGAAAACTCAGTTTGGAGAGCGTCAGACTGAAGATCTGAAGGTCACATGTTCAATCTACGCTCACCGCATGAGCTTTGTGCTTTTTTTCACGTTGGTATTTCGCTCTCTCTGTTAATGGAATTGGTCTATTCTCTTATTACTAGTTATATATAATAGTCGTTATATATAATAGTTCCGCTATTAATCAGGCAATCGATGGAGCAAGACTAGCTGACATTTTTTAAATGATAAATTCTATACTCTTTCAAAAAGATATTAATAGTAGGGATAGCTCAGTTGGGAGAGCGTCAGACTAATGATCTTAAGGTCGTGTGTTTGATCCACGCTTACCGCATGAGCTTTGTAATTTTTTCATGTTGGTCTCTCGCTCTCCCTGTTAAAGGATTTGG